TGTGGTGATGGGTTGATTCTGTCAGTTAGGTTCGGGTTGTTTTTGTTTTTAATAGAGGGAGTTTTAGTAAACATGGACATGTCTAAGAGGGGCCCATTATTTTTGTAACAGTGCACTTAGGGAAAACCTGTCAGGTGTTTTGATGAGCTAATAATCAGCTCTCTTTTTCTCATTTTTGTTCTAAGCAGGCCTGGAACAGTGAATAACAGTGCTGACAAATTCTCAGGAGAGCAAATATAAGGTGGACTTTCCAGATTATAATTGGCCGAGGAGGAGTCTACCGGTGGGGACCTGATTGGTTGTGAGTCTCTGTCTAAAAGGATTGTAGCGATTCAATCCAGTCCAAAAGCATAAAGAACTGTTTTCCTAAAAAACAAAATAAAACAAATGAATGAGCTCATTTTGCTGAGAGTGGAGAATCTGATTACTTGCGCGGGAGGCTCCACTATTAGCAATGCATGGTGTGAATGCATGTGAGTGAATGTGTGTGACTGGTCTAAAGTTGGGATGAATAAATGTGGACAAACAATTTGGCATTGCCAGAAAGAGAAAGGGTATGCTTTGCCTTTACCAGAGAAAATTTCTGTTTTATTGACTGGGGTTAGATTATGGTATTATAGCATATTGTTGGGAGAATGCCAAATGCTAAAGGGGAAACATTTGTTGATATAACTGATGCTACCATTAATTGAAGAAACACATGACTGATAACTGTTTTGTTTTAAGTTTATTTTTATGACATGGATTGCATCATGAGTGGGGAAAACTGAGCATTTTTAGTTTGACACATGAGATGTGTCAAAAAAGGGGAATTTAAGGTTTAATTTGAAATGGGTTTTAAGATCATTTTATGACTTTTGGGTTTTTTTGATTATTTAAAGGGTAAAACTGAAGCAGAAATTGTTATTTTTATGTTAAGGTTAAAGGATTAAAGTGAACTGAATCCTGTTTAGAAGATACAATGCCAGTGTTTTTAAAGCTGTATACAAATCTTAGAGGGAAACTGTGGGACACGTTGACAAAAAGATATGCTTTGGGGAAAACTAGTGAAGGTTGTAGGAGTAGAAAAGGTTTGATTTGTTTTGGATTTCTAGAAGAAGTGGTTATAATGTAGGCTTACACATACAGATATTACATAGATTTATTTTTAGGATAAAGGGGAGAGCTTATACGTAGAAATGATTTTTTATACATATTGCATTTTGTGCATTTAAAGGAGTTGTGGCTCAATTCGTCTCTTGAGGGTCACGAGCCTTTGGCTAGCGCTATGATTAGCCAATCTACTGTTAGGATGATATGAGTTATTGAAGGATTGCACATGCTTACAGACATATAGAGTCCATAAACACACATGACAGTATTGATTCCAGGCAAAAGGCCTCAAATTAATTTAGCTTTTAACTGAACTTGAGCTGGCCCTGTAACAAGTGACAGAAAAGAGGGACTGAATAGGAGTTTCTTGCTTTAAAGAAGGACCAAAGGAAGGAAAGCATATATTTTGGTTAAGTCTGATAAACTAGAATTAGAAGGTATTGTTACATTAAAAGGAACGAAATGAAATAAAAAGGCTATACCAACAACAGGCTATAACATAGGAAATGTGAGTTTTAAAATGAAGTTAGTGTTAACACACAGGAGTTGTTTCAAGGCAGCGTTTAGCCATGATAAAATGTATGCATGAGTAATTGCTTATATGTTTAAACTTAATTGATTAAAGTGGTTGTTTTCTTTTGGATCTTTTAGTAGAATAGGCGCTTATAATGATTTTCTTGTGAAAGGTGACTTTAGATCAGAGTGGAAGCCTTTGCAGCAGCGACAGTTCTGTGTACAGGATGTTGATGATCAGATAAGGCGAACAACAGGAAACAAGCAGCGCTTTAAGAGTTTTAAAATGATGAGTAACGTTGAAGAATATATATAAATACAAGTCAATAAGTCAAGAACATAATTAGGATCATGCTTTTGATTAAAGAGTCCCAAACATGATAAGTTAGGGAGGCATAGGAAAAGGTGTTTTGTTTCCTTTGCAGAAGATCTCGGCAACCACAG